CATCTATAGACTACTCTTCCAACAACAGCAGAACACACATTCTTCTCAAGCTCACATGAAATGTTTACCAAGATAGATGACATTCTAGGACATAAAACACACCTTAACAAATGTAAAAGAATAGAAATTGTAAAATAAATCAATATAATTCATCACATAAGAAACAAAGAAAAAAAAAGAAAAACCAAAATAGATGCAGGAAATGTATTTGACAAATCCTACATCCATTCCTATTAAAAATTCTTGGCAAAGTAAGAATAGGAAGGAATGTATTCAACCTGATAAAGAGCATGTACAAAAAAAACCCTAAAGCTAGCATTACACTTAATGGTGAAAGACTGAATCCTTTCCCTCTAAGTTCAGTAACAAGACCATGATATCTACTCTCACTGCTTCTTTTCAACATTGCATTAGGAGTGCTAGCCAGCACAATAAGACAAGTAAAAGGCAACCAGATTGGAAAGGAAAAAGCAAACTGTCTTTATTCACAGACACAAGATGACCTATATAAACTTCCAATAGAATCTACAGAAAGTGATAAATAAATGAATTTAGTAAGGTTGCAAGATACAATTGCAATATTATAAAAATCAATTGAACTTCTATATACTAGCAATGAACAATTGTAAATTAAAATTAAAAGTGGACTTATGTTAGTTGTAAATGTACATTTACAATAGCATTGAAAAAATTGAAATACTTGGAGATAAGTCTGCTGAAAGACTTATACATTGAAAACTATAATACAAAACATTTCTGAGAGGAATTAAAGAAGACCTAAATAAAGATAGAGATTCACCTTGTTGATGGGCCAGAAGATTTGATATTGTTATAAATATCCCTAAATGATCTATATTTGATGCAATCCTAATCAAAATCCCAGCAGGCTTTTTTGTAAAAATCAACAAAGTGGTTCTAAAATTCATACAGAAAGGACCTAGAAAATGAACAAACTTGGAGGACTAACACTATCTGACTTCAAGATTTGTTACAAAGCTATAGTAATCAATAAAACGTGGTATTGTCATAAAGATAGATAAATCAGTGGAACAGAATAGAGTCCGGAAATAGAATCACATATGTATGAACAACTGATTTTCAACAAAGGTGCGAAGGCAATTCAGTGGAGAAAGGATAATGTTTACAACCAGTGGCATTGGAACAAGTGGCTATCCATGTGCAAAAATGAATTTGGATTCATACCTTGCACTACATACATTAACCTAAAATGGATCATAAATTAAATGTAGAACCTAATATAAACATTTCCAGAAGTAAACATAAAACTATAAAACTTCTAGAAGAAACATAAAAGAAAACCATAGAGATCTTGGGTAAGGCAGAGATTTCTTAGATACAACACCAAAAGCACAATCTACAAAAGAACAAACTGATAAGTTGGATTTCATCAAAATTAAAAACTTCTGCTCTTCAAAATACACTGTGAAGAAAATGAAAAAGCAAGCAGCAGATTGGGAGAAAATATTGGCAAATCTGATATAAGGCTTGTATCCAGAATATATAAAGAACTCTCAAAACTCAATAATAGGAAAACAAACAGCCCAGTTTTTAGAATGGGCAAAAGAGTTGAACAGACACTTACCCCAGAAGAAACACAGATGGCAAATAAGCACATGAGAAGACTCTCAACATCATCAGTCATTAGGGAAATAAAAATTGAAACTATAAGGAGATACCATTACACATAAGAATGACATGAAAAAGACTGACCCATACCAAGTGTTGACAAGGATACGGAGAACTGGGACTCTCATCCATTGCTGGTGGGAATGTGAAAGGGACAACTACTTGGGAAAACACTTTGGTTGTTTCTTATAAAATTAAACATGTACCTTCCACATGAGCCAGCCACTCCACTCCTAGGTATTTACCCAAAGAAAAGAAAGTGTGAGTATACACAGATAAGCAGCTTTATTTGTAATAGCCCCAAACTGGAAGCCGCAAATGTCCACTAGCAGGTAAATGGATAAATAAGCTATGGTCTATCCATCCAATGGAATACAGCTCAGAAATGAAAATGCATAAATCATCAATATATGCAGCAATATGGATGATACCCAAATGTTTAAGCTGAGTGAAAGAAGCCAGACCAAAAAAGAGTACACGCTGAATAATTTCATTTATGTAAAATTCTAGAAATTCAAAGTAATGTACACTGATGAAAAGCAGCCAGCCGTGACCCGGGAATGGGGTAGCAGAAGGAAGGATTACAAAAAAAGCATAAGGAATCTTTCAGGGATGATGAATACCCTTCTCTTCATTGTGGTGATGGATTCATGCATGTCTACCTATATCAGAACCTATCAAATGATCTACTTTACATATGTGCACTTTCTGTGTGTCGACTATATCTCAATAAAGCTGTCTTTAAAAGATATTAATGGCAGAATCTAGGGAAAAGACCACTCTGTGTGCCTTAAGCAAGTTGCTAAACCTCTAGTTTCCTAATTTATAAATTGGGAGTAAAGTTACTGTCCTTGTAGCTGTCCTTGTTGTTGTGATAATTTAAAATAACATGTTAAATATGTTTTATACAAAATAGATGCTCAATTAGTAATGGAACTAATGTAATAACACTTTCGAGAATAACAAGAAGAAAAATATCACTTGACTCTAAAATGTTCTCCTTGCATATATCTGGAGAGACTTCTATGAAGGGTTTGAAGGCCATTGCCCCCGGTTTCCCAAGTCTCCTGAGGTCACAGTTTCACATACTGTGGAGTTAATATTGTAGTAAGATTTGACCCACCCATTTCTTCTACTCTCCCACCTCCCCTTTGTTCGTAGTTTGGTCAGAACTGAAAGAAGATTACCTTAGTCTCTGTCCCTGCATAGCCCTACCTGCCAGCCACCCTACCACCTCATGGTCTCTTCCTCCTCCTTCTAATTTTGGCACCTGGGACCACATAGACTTGTAGAGATCAGTTGGGAAGAAAACTCTTCTTGGGAAGATGAAGAGAGGATGTACGAATATGTCAATCACATAGCATGGTTCCTGTCACAATGAACACATATGTAAACATTAGCAATTGTGGTTTTCCTAAATACGAATGAAGCCCCTGTCTGGCTCCTGCGTCCGTTGCCCACACACACACACACACACACACACACACACACACACACACGCACGCACACATCTGGAGAGCTCTGTAGTAGTCACTGGGGCCAGTGAATTCCCAATCCTGTTCTAGGCAAGTGGAAGGAAAAGGTAAACACTATCCTTGCCCTCAAAGAGTGTACAGTTCATGAGCAGCTTAGTGAGGGAACCTACGACAGGTTCAAAGATGGAAGAAATCAAGGTGCGCGGAAGTTGTTGGGAAAACATCATGGAAAAAGAGGACAAAGAGAACCTGTCTTGTTTGTGTGCGTTGTATGTTTGTAATTCCCAACCCTTTAGCACGGTGCCTGGCATGTAATTGAACCTCAATTCATCATTTTTGGTTGAACAAGTGAGTGGATGAGGATAGCTGGAGATGGTATTGTCCAAAGTAGAGAAGAGATGGGGAGCAAGAGCTGAGGCCCAGAGTTGTGAACGACGAGGACCCATTTGCCTTAAGAAAAGCCACACCCAGGGAAGAGGTGACACAGGAGGTGGGGGGTGGGGTAAGAGGTGAATGACAGAAGGAAGAACCTGGACAGTAGGGTAGAGACCTCTCCGGACACAGGAAATCCTTAGAGATGTCGCATGGGGTGGCCCTGCTCATACCCAGGCCCCTCCTTTGGCTCTGGTGGGTCTCCAGAAGTTGGAAGCATACTCCTGCTCCCCAGTTCCCCAGACAAGCTGAGTCACATGGAGAATTTTATCTGCTAGTCCCTTCTCCCACCCACAGATTGGCACCTGCTCTGAAGGGGAGTAGAGGCCCTTTTTTCCCCTGTCACAGGGACCCCCACTCCTGGCTAGCAGAGAGCAAAGGAGCCACCTGACAGGACACTGCTCACTCAACTGGCACACACATTCCTCACACGCTTCCACGTGCCCCTCACTCAAGGTCCTAGTCACTTCTGAACAACAGGGAGCCAATACCAGAGCCATGCAGAAGACTAGCAGGGACTCAGCAAGGAACAGACGTGTGAACAGGCTGTGCTGACCACGAGGCCATGCACTGGGGCCTGAGCTAGCTGGCTCCGATCCCGCCGGCTCGCTGCTGACTGGGAGCTGGCATGAATAGCTCAGGGCCTTTGGACGAGGGGCTTCAGGGCAGAGTACTGAAGTGCCGGCCAATGTGCCTGGTGCCTCCCGGTGTCCTCTGACCTGGCCCCTGTTTTGAATCCTTAGGGCTCTTACTTGTGCCACGTTAGCCCATTCAGAGTTTCTAGAACCAATCTGCAACTTGACAAAAAGGTACTTCATCCCAAACCAAATGGTTTCCCATTTGACCGCCACACTGAGGTCTGTGGGTGTTCAGTGTGCCCCATTAGACTCCTCCAAGGCAGCTCAGTCAGTGACCCTGGATCTGGATGGACTGTTCTCTTCCTTTAGCATACATTCCTGGCCGATACCCTGAGGACTGTGCTAAAGGGAATTTTTGAGCAAAGAAAGAGCAATATTTCTTTCCTCCCAGCCATGGAGAAGTGGGACTTTCCTCTGACTGGAGACAGATTGGAGCACAAGTCCTTTGGATCAAGGCTTCTTGATCTAGCGCTCTGAACTGGATAAGAAAGAATTCCAGTCTCTTCTCTTTGCAGTCCAGCAAAGGAGCTTTCCTCTCTACCCCCACTCCCCGGCTGCCCCTCACCCAAGTCAGAGCCTTGTTTCTCTTGCCCAGGTGCCCTGAGCAGCAGCCACAAGGCCTGAGCAATGGACTTTAAGCTTGGAAAGCCCCTCGCCCGGAATGTGCATGCCTATCTGTGGCCGTGCCCGTGTGTGTGTGTGTGTGTGTGTGTGTGTGTGTGTATGTATGTGTGTGTGTGGACTTGCACGTAAGCGTGTGTGACAAAAATCGCTTCTGGAGCATGTTGCCCTCTGTCTGCCCATCCAGGTTACTCCTCGCTGCAGGACGAGCTGCTGTCCCCTGCCTCCCTGCACTACGCGCTTCCCTCTCCACTGCGTGCAGACCAGTACTGGAACGAGGTGGCCGTCATAGATGCCATCCCCTTGGCGGCCACGGAGCATGACGCCATGCTGGAGATGTCTGACATGCAGGTGTGGTCCGCGGGCCTCACACCCTCTCTGGTCACTGCTGAGGACTCCTCTCTGGAGTGCAGCAAGGCCGAGGACTCTGACGCCACTGGCCACGAGTGGAAGCTGGAGGGGGCGTTCTCCGAGGGACCCCAGGGCCCCACGCTGGGCTCTCTGGAGCTTGTGGAGGACGACACAGTGGATTCGGATGCCACAAATGGCCTTATCGATTTGCTTGACCAGGAGGAAGGTCAGAGGTCAGAAGAGAAGCTGCCAAGTCGTAACAGGCAGGAGGACTCGACAGGTGCAGGGCAGGACTCAGAGAATGAAGTGTCTCTTGTTTCAGGCCAGCAGAGGGTGCAAGCCCACATCACAGAATCCCCCACCGTGAGTCGGGTGATGGAGACCAGCCAGGACAGGTAAGGGCTGGGCTGCCGTGGCGGGATGCCTTTGGTTTTCCTGGGCTTCCGGATGAGACTGCCGGGCAGTGAGTACAGAGGGAATTCTTAGGTGCTGCTGCCGACCCTGCCCCCATGTTCTAAATGCCCTGGAGCAAATACATTCTGTAGATGCCACCTTGCCTCTGAAGCCGCCCAGCCCTCATTCACGCCTCTCTCATGTAAAAATGGAGCTGTGATCTGCAAAGGCCACTCCCTCCCCAAGAGCCACCCTGGATGTGGCCAGCAGGAGAGAGGCTCAGGGTGTTATGACAAGTTGGAGCATACTTAGGAGAGAGGTTATAAGGCTTAGAGAGACCACATCTCTAAAGGGCACCTGGGGCTAGGTGCTCTAGGCCCCTATCACTGTTGGGTGTTTATCATTGAAGACCATATTTTGAAACCTGCAAACATCAGGGCCCAGGAAGTTATTTGTGTGGTCACACAGCCTGCGTGTGACAGAGCTGATAGTGGTGCCCTTTCTGCCTTACCCCCTGGAAAGAGTGAGGCTGGTGGGCTTATCTGGGGCAGAACAGAACTTTCAGTTGCTAAAAGATGGATATTCTCGTGGGTCAGTCCTCAACCAGCTCCCATGACGAGAAGGCTTGGCACTATACCAGCAGGAGAGAGGCAGCAGTGGCAGTTCAGGCAGAAGAGCCTTATGCATCTCTGCAGACGCTGAGAGCCCTCAGGCCGTGGGCCCGACTCGGCCCTGCAGTGGACACCCACTCCGGCATGGTGCCGAATGTGGAGGAGGGCTTGGGGCAGGAATGAGAGAGGAGACAGACGTGTGGCAGGTATCGCTTTGGCCTTCCTGGACTGGCACAGGAAGCAAGTAATAGTGACCCTTTCTTCCAAATTGCTGTGCTTTCTAAGTTTTCCCTAAAGCAGGAATACAGTTCATGTGCTCCCAGAAGGCTGTGGCCTCCCCAGGAGCTCAGGTCTGGCCAGGCCATGGGGTATCTGTTCTCATGTCCTCTTCCCACCCACATTGCTCCACTCAAAATCCCAGGCTGACTGGCCATTCCCCGGGGTCCACTCAGTGTGGCCCAAATACCATAGTATGAGAGAAAGGAAAGTCATTTTAAAAAATGAGACAGCAAGGATTGATTTACTTTCTAAACAAATCCTTTGATTAGGGGGGAGAATTGGACAGACTGAGCCTGTGAGGATTCAAAGTAAAATACTGGCCTTCCTGTGAGAGAGGCCATCTTCCAACAACCTGCGATGGCCGTTCATTCAACAAGCATTCATTGAATACCTACCTGTGTGCTGACCACTGCACCATTGTGACAGCAGGGGAACCAGAAGGCCTGAGTGCTGGGCCTCAGTACGTTACAGTTTGGCTCTGTGACCTTGGTCAGTCTTCCAATGGGGATAGACATACTTCATTCACTGACTCAACAATAGGTATTGAGTGCCCGCGATATGCTGAGCACCTATAAAAAGTATACCTAGGTGCTGGGGCTGTGGCATTGAACAAAAGAGACAAAAGTCTCTACCTGCAAGAAGTTTATGTTCTAGTGGGGAAACTGATAGTAAACAAGATAAAGTAAATAAAATTAAAAGTAATTAAAAGAGAAATGCTAGATATTAAGTGCTAAAAAGAAAAATAAAGCAGGGAAAGGGAGCAGGAGATGTGTATGTGTGTGGAGAGGGATGGTTGAAATTATAGATAAGGTGGCCAAGGAAGCCTGAGAGAGTGACATTGAAATAAAGATTTACAGGAATTAAGGGCATGGGCCATGTGAATACCTGAGGGGAGACATCCAGTTGAAGGCCTAGCTGGTGCAGAGACCTTGAGGTACAGCACGCTGGGCACAGTCCAGGGACAGTGAGGAGGGAGGTTAGCAGAGTGATCAAGAAAGATGAGGCCAGGAAGGTAATGGGGCCAAACATGTCAGATATTGAGGTCCTGGAAAGACGTGGGCATTTACTGGGTGAGATGAGGAGCCATTGGAAGGTTCTGAGCAGGGAAGTGAGATGACCTGGTAAATGGCTTGAGAACAGCCTGACATGGCCAGAGATCGACAGGGAGATGAGCTAGGAAGCCAGCGTTCATGGTGATGTAGACCAAGACGGCAGCAGTGGTGGTGGAGAGAAGTGGTTGTCTTCAGGATATATTTTTGAACGTTCAACCAAAGGGGTTTGCTGAGGAATAAGATGTGGAGTGTGAGCGTAAGAGAGACGTCAAAGAGCTCTCTGGTATCCTTGGCCAGGGAACTGTAAGAATGAAGGTGCCATTTACTGCAGTGGGGAAAGCTGGGTGGAACAGGTTTGGGGAGAAGATCGTAAGTGTGGGTTTGACCATGCTATCCTCAAGATGCCTATTAGAAAAAGTAGAGATGTTGAGGAGGCAGTTACACCCTTGCAGTTCAAGAAAGAGATGCTGGAGACATACATCTAAGCATGAGGAGCATTCGGATAGGGTGTAAAGCCATGGACTGAAGGGGCTCCCTTAGGAAGTAGATGTAGATAGAACTGAGGTCTGAGAACTGAGCCCAGGGGCACTCCAATGTTCACAAATCAGAGAAATTAGAAGGAACCAACCAAGGACACTAAGCAGTGGTGGCCAGAGAGGGGAGGGGGACGGGGAGGAGGCAGACAAATATGGTGTTCTAGAAGCCATGGAAGAGTGTGTTTCCAGGGGAAGAGAGTGATCACCTTGTCAGATGAGCACTGAGATGAGGCCTATTGAGTGCAGGTAGCCTGGAGGGCTGGAGGGTGGGTGAGGTGATGGGTGTAGAAGCTCCAGTGACTGTATTATAGATGTGAGCCAAGTGCCTCGGGAGCCCAGAGTGAGGCTGTCCACTCAAGGGAGGAGACCAATGGCACTGGTGTCCTTGGCCCTCTCCACCTAGACAGCCTAGATGGCCCATTTGTACCTCTCTGGACAGGGAAGTCAACAGTGATTTGCTCACACTCTCTCGCCCCTTGGATGGGCAGAACAGGATGTGTTTTGGGTGAGCCAGGACTTGGAGGGGAAGGGTATCTGAGACAGAGCAGAGACTGAAGGGTGACCAGGTGTCTTTTCTCTCTTCCTGGACCCAAGACTGCAGGACTGGGATGGAGAAGGTTCCATTGTCTCGTACCTGCAAGATGCTGCACAAGGTTCCTGGCAAGGGGAGGTCATGCAAGGCCCACACTCACTCCAGAGAACAGTCACCACCATCAAAGGGCTAGAGCCCAGTGAGTCTCGTCAGTATGAGAAGGTCGTGGTGTCTGCGACTGAGCACATGCGGCCAGAGCAGCCCGAGGCTGAGAGCCTACAGGCTGACAGGGAACGGAGGCGACAAGGACACCGAGAGTGGGTGCAGGAGGCCGAGAGCACATTCTCCCAGGTGGTACAGGTGAGAACTGCAGGGAGGAGCCTGCTGATGCCTGCACCAGTGCCAGAAGGGGCCAAATGCCTAGGCAGCCTCTTGTTCACTCAGCCCAGCGCTGAGCATGTTTGCTTTCTTTAAAAATTTTGGCAGTGACTTCACTTCCTCTAGAAGGAAGGATACAAGGTTTTGGTTTCCCTGTCTGCTTCCTTGATCCCTACTGAGGGAAGCGAGGGGCTGACATGCATGGAGCTCCTGAGTGTTCCAGGCACAGCCTGTGGTGTTATCATCCTCACAAGAGGCTATTCCCACCTGGCAACTGATGGTTGAGCAACTTGCGCCCAAGGTCACGGGGTCAGAGGTGGGCTTTGAGTTAGGCCTAGCTAACGCTAACGCCATGGTTTTTTGTTTGTTTTCTTTTTCCATCATATTTTAGAAAAAGCTTAGACCAGAGAGAGCTAGGTGTTTGGCTAACTCTGGTCCTACCATGGTCTGCATGGCTGTGGACAAGCCACCGTCGTCTTGGCACCTCGGTTTCCTCACTAGTAAAGGAGGAGTGAAGGTGTTATTGCCAGGGTTCATAGAGCTTGAGAATTCTGTGATACTGTGGGTGGGCTCACCAAGTGGAACAGGAGACGATGGAGGGAACGTTCTCGCCACCTCCCGCTGCCCTCTCTTCTCCCAGTTTCCCCGATCTCTTCCTCTCTCAGGCCTCCCTCCCTCCATTTCAGTTTGCCTTACTTTACTTTTTTAATTTATTCACTTTTATCTTCATGCCCCAATCCCATTCTCTTGCCCCTCCCCATTCCCATAGACATCCATTTAAATGTGCTTTTTGGAAAAAAATTTATTATGAAAAATTGCAAATAAATAGAAAAACAGACAGAATAGCACATTAACTTTCCATGCACACACCACCAAGGCTGCACCATTACCCACCCATGGCCAGTCTTATTTCACCTGTACCCCCTCCACTCTCTTCCACCCCACCTCCATATTATTTTGAAGCAAATCACAGACATCTTATTAAGATGTCTTTTTAATTTATGTGTTTTTACCAGATGTGCTTTGCTGTTCTGTGCATAGGTATTTTTAATGTGTGCATTAACGGTGTGTTTTGTGTCTCATTTGGTTTCTTCCTGTTCGGTCAGCACTGTTTCCTCATCCAGGAACCGCTTTCCTCCTTTTTTTCTCCTCTATTTCTTTCTTCTCTTTTCTCGCCCCACTCCTATCTGAAATTAGCTCTAGCAGGCATCTTTGAGGACCCCAGGACTCGGCTGGCTCCGCAGTGGTGCTGGGATGCTGGTTGTTGAGAGCTGCTAGGAATTAAATAGGGTTTTATTTAGAATGCGGCCTTGCCAAGTATGTGCCACAGAAAGGACAGGCGGCTGTGTCCATTTTTAACCCCAGCCCACCCCATGCATTATTTGCCATTAGGCTATTCCTTGGTACCCACTTCTACTGCTCCCAGTAGCAAGTGCTTGGCCCAGAGCACAGGTGCTCTTAATCAGGTCTGGACTCCTGACTCCTGGAGAAAGAGAAGGATTCCAGGAGCGATATTTTCCACCTGTCTTCTGCAGTCAGCCTTCGGTGAAGGAAGAACTGGGGAGGAAGCAGGATCACCCCAGGGAATCAAGGGAGAGAGAAATCTTCCAGGTCATACGGTCCAGCTGCCTCGTTTATAAATGAGAAAGCTGAGGGCTAGAGAGCCGAGGGCTTCTTCAGGGTCACACAGTGAACCAGCGACAGAGCCAGGAGAGTCCAGATCTCCTATTTCCCTGTACGTGTATGAATATTGGGGGGGTGGAGGGGCAGCACACCTAACGCCTCCCCAGCTTAGGACAGGATTGGATGGCATGGATGAGCTGTTGTCCAAATCATCTGACAGGCCCCCGGGAGGTGATCATTTAAGGTGACGGTTTGCAAAGCACCCATTTGCTAGTATTTCCAGTGAATCTCTGAAAATAGTGAGAGAGAGATAGAGGGATGCCCTGTAATTTGAGGTTTGGGAAGCGGGCCTAAAATGACTGTAAGCCAGCCCGTCCCTCTCTGAGGACCTGGGGGAAAATATCTGAAGTTAGACTCCTCTTGGTTGGGCCAAAACTGAATGTGCTGTGACTTCTATTTTTCCAAGTGCTTTCTTGTTGAAACGAGGCAGTGTTGTGTAGTGATTGGAGTTTGAAATCTGACTCTTTGATTTACTTACTCTTTCACGTAGGCAAGTTTCTTTGTGCCTCCTTTTCCTTTGTGGGAAATGATAGAACCTGCATGGTAGGATTGTCGGAAGGCTTAACTGAGTTAATATGTGAAATACACATGGAACAAGGCCTGCAGAACAGTGCACACTATAGTAAGTGTTTGCTATTATTATTCATAGTGGTAGTACTCATAAACCCTAGGATCCTCACAGCACTCTCGAGAACAGGGCGGGGAGAACACATTTATCCACCCTGTCTTATGGATGAGGAAACTGAAGCCCAGGGAAGGTATCCAGCTTTCCCCAGTCCCCACAGTGAGATTGTTGCAGGGCCAGTGTGCCGTCCAGGGTCAATGTGCCATCCCAGATCTTTGTTCTCTCCGCCATGTGAGCTGCTACTCAAAGAGGAACAGCCTGATCCCCAAAGTGAAATTCCTTTCAGCCACAGCTGCATTTGTGAATCAGCTATGTAAAGGCGAGTATAATGTGCGTGGTTCCTGCTCCTCCTCGTGGGCCGGCGTTGACAGCCAGCATGGGAAGAGCCTTTGAGGACAGACCTTAAATAGACAACACCAGTTACACGCTTACGTTTAGGGTTGCTGTGCCCAGGAAAGGGGCTGATGGGAATTGCACAGCTCCACCACCTGTGCTGGACCCTGCTGCGCTGGACCTGAGCAAATCACTCATCCCAGGGCTATTTTTGAAATAAAGCCTTAACTCTTCAGGGTATTAGCCGATCCCATCCCCATGGGAGAGGGTAAACATCAGCCTGATCACTGCAACAGCAGAAACGCAAGTAGCCTCATGCTTCAGATGCCTTATATCCTGGAGTCCCTAAACAAGAAGGTCTCCCTGGGCAGAACCGCCTCGAGTTTGCATAGGGGCAGGCAGACAGGAAGGAGAGGAGCCAAGCCCCTCTTCAGGCTCTCATTGTGGGGCAGGGCGGGAGTCGCTCACAGTGACTTTGACATGGAATTTCAGAGCCCAGGACACGCACACCTGCCAGCTTCCTTCTAGCCCAGTTGGACAGCCCCAGCAGCTGGTTTGGGAGCTAAAATTATCGAAAGCCGACGTCACCCAGGCATGAGGGCAGAGCCTGGGGCTGCTCGGCAGGAGGAGGACACTCAGGCAGACAGTTCTAGTGAGGGGCCGGTCAGTCTCCTGCCTGGAGAAAAAAAAGAGTTGGGAGACTGAGGAGCAACAATGGAAGGGGTTCCCGGGGGACTCAGGAGTCCAAGAGGAGAATGAGAGGTTGGACCCCTGCAGCAGCCAGAGCCCTGGCTCCGCTTGTCCCCGGAGGGCCCGGCTGGTGAGGAGGAGGTGAGGATGTGGACTTTCATCACCCAGCTCCTGGTCACCCTAGTGCTCCTGGGTTTCTTCCTGGTCAGCTGTCAGAACGTGATGTACATTGTCAAGGGCTCCCTGTGCTTCGTGCTGAAGCACATCCACCAGGAATTGGACAAGGAGCTGGGGGAAAACGAGGGCCTGAGTGACGACGAGGAGACCATCTCTACCAGGGTGGTCCGGCGTCGGGTCCTCTTGAAGGTAACCACCAGGCAGGAGGCAGGGCTGAGGGCACAGTGCTGTGATGTGAATGGGGAGGAGCTGGGGGCAGGTGCCGGACTCCAGGTCAGGAGACACTTTGGAAGAGAAGGGCCAGGAAGGCCTCAGGGGACTGGCTCTGCACTGAGAGCCAGAACTGTGTGCGGCCCCCATTTGGACCATCAGTGTGTGATGGCAGAGATAGCTCAGCTCTGGGAGTTACTGCGCCTGTTCGTTCTCCTTCTGCTTCTGTCCTCAAGTCATGCTCAGTGTGTTGATGTCTGTGGAAGGGCTTTCTACACTGTACAGTGCTGTAGAAATATATTGGGTTGTTGGAAAAGTCATGACATTTTTTTCTATGTTTTTCGTTGCAAAATGCTTCATAACTTTTCCAACAACCCAATAAATTAGGTGCCTCACTTCGTCTCTCAGGGCCTCCTTCATAAAACTTGCATAATTGTCCCTGTTTTGCCTGTTCCCGGTGCTATTATGGGAGCCCAGCACACAGAGCTCTTGCAAGCTCTAGGCTCCATCCTGTCCTTGGGCCCCATGGTCCCACAGGGCACTTCTTGTACTTGGAGCTGATGGTTTGTTTGGCTGCCGCTAATTGCTGAGCTGGAGTTTCCTGCCGGGGTGGGGATTTGTCGGACTACGACTATTGTTGCTGCTGTTCTTCTATTTCCTCATCCTCGATTCTTATTCCTAAACTCCCACTGAATCAATCTCAAATTAACTCCCTTTCTCTAATTGCAGGGAAGTGAGCTTCAGAATATTCCAGGGGAGCAGGTGACTGAGGAACAATTCACAGATGATCAGGGCAACATCGTCACCAAGAAGGTGGGTGTAAGGAGTGCCCTGAGTTGGGGAGAGGCAGGAGGGCCAGAGGCTAAAAGGTAGACCCACCTCTCAGCTTCTTGCTGCTGCCCTAACAGAGGGATAAGCACAGCTCAGACAGGACAGTTCAGGGGCCACAAGCTCCTGTCTTCCACAATCTGGCTATGACATTTTGACATTTTTCATAGCCGCATGGCCTGATTCAACCTGAGTTGAACTTCTGCTACTCTGCTCCTGACACATGAAGCCCCCTAGGACAGCCCAAAAACCTCGTCCCGTGATGCCCAGCCCTGAAAACAGCTGTAAGACAGCAGTGTGGTGCCCCCCAGACTCCCACAGCCTCCTAAAATAGAAAAGATGTGGAAAGGCACAGCAGACATGACGTTGCCTAGCAAGTGTTGGGTACCGTGCTAGGTTTGGGCAGAAGCAAAGGGAAAACCTCCTGTGTGCTCCCCTGTGGTACTGCTCACACTGCAGTGGAGCAGGACCCTTATGTCCATCTTTCCCTCTGTATGGTGAGCTTGGTGCAGGCAGGGATCATGTCTTATTTGTGTTTTCATCTCCCATCCTAGCACGTGGTAGGTGCAGAGTAAGCAGTCGTTAGACTATTTGGAGGAATGAATATGGGAATGGCTGGATTGAATCAAATTACTATGGATGAGCTTACAGGCGTACAGTGAAGACAATGTAAATGTCCTTCAATACCAAGAGGCAGAAGGAAATGCTGTGGACTAGAGATAGAAGTTACATGTGGTCCAACCTTGGTCATTAAAAACCTTTGCTAAGACCCCTCTGCAAGTTCTAGTCCCTCTGAGGCTGTCCAATGCAAGTGTTTCCACACCGTGATGCGAGTGAGAGACCTGTCTCTATTTTTGCCACTCAAGAAGGGGCGCTTTCGGACAAAGATTGCCTCTCCCCCGATGTCATTCCTGGGGACCTGCTCTTCTCAAGCTTTGTCTTGACGGCTTCACCAGCCCCTTTTCCCTTCCCTCTCTTTTCCAGATCATTCGCAAAGTTGTTCGGCAGATAGACTCATCTGGTGCCGATGACACCCAGGAGCGTGAGGAGGTGATTGTTGAGGGGCCCCCAGAGGATCCTGGGGAGATGGAAGCCGATATTGATTACTTTATGAAACACGCCAAGGTACTGCGGTGGCCGCTGCCTCCGAGGCACTCACTCTTCCGAGTGGCCAGAACCTCTTCCTGCTGCTCACCTCTGTGCCAGCCCACTCTGGGTTTCAGGCTGCACCGCGCCCACCTCTCTGGGCTCTCCCTCCAGCCTCCCTTACCCCGAAGGAGGCAGTGTTCCCACTACCTCCGTATGATGCCTTTCGTTCTCTTGCCTACTGTTGCCTCTCTCTCTGTGCCATCTGTCTGCATTCTGTCTCTGCTGCTGTCTCCAGGTGGAGCTGAGAGGGAGTAGCCTGCAGCCGGACCTGATAGAGGGCAGGAAAGGGGCTCAGATAGTGAAGCGGGCCAGCCTGAAAAGGGGGAAACAGTGATCTCAAGCAAGCCCCCACCCTTGAATGGCCTCGTTGGAGGTAACAGGTCTTTCTGCATGCTTTCTGCATGGCTTGGTCCTTGCGGAGCGGTGGGTCCTGGGAATGGCTGTTCACATCCTCATCCCCATCTCCTCTCCCCGGCATGATGCAGGATGGACAGTGTTGCTGTGGTCTTGAGACATAGATTCTCATTCCCCCACCTTCTATCTGTGTCTCTGAGTCTTGATTTCCTTGTCAAGAAAACAAAGTCAACAATATCTGCTGACCTATACCTTTCAGGAAGTGCAAAAATACAGATTTGAAAAAAATGCTTTGATGAGCAAAAAGTGCTTGGTAATCTCAGTAGTGTTACAGTCCTGGAAACCAAGCAATGGGGATATGGAGGACGGGGACAGGGCATCGGGGAGGGCAGCCGAGTCTGTCTAGGCTGTGCTGTTTCAACCCACATCCCCAGGAAGAGCTCCAACAATCAGACTTAGAACTGAACTGTCGCTTGAACCTGGAACCCTACAAAAGTCCCCACGAACCCAAGGCTTCCATTCTCCTTGGTGTTTCTTGAAACCTGTTGCTCCCTTGCTTTCTAGGAAAGGGTGAAGTCAACAAGCCCAAGGGGCGGATGGTGTTTTCCCTACGAGTCAGGAGGGCTGCCGCGCCTTGGTGCATGGCGTGTGAGCATGGGCCAGTGTGGCCAAGCGTCCGGGGTGTGCTGTGCTGTGCAGTGAGGGAGGGCTGTGAAGACGGCGGCGAAGGCTCTCCAGCGGGCCGTGCAGTGCTGGGGGCTTCAGCGGCCAGCTCTGACCTCATCCTCCCTGAGGGATCCTGTACTGAGCTGCCCCGAGGCTCTTCACTGTGCCCAGCTCGGGGCAGCTCAGTACAGGATGCATCGGGGTGGGAGTCGGCAGGAAGCGAGGAAGCACTGTGTCCCCAGCGCAGCACTAACCAGGTTGTTGCCATTTAAACCCCCAGGGCCTGGCTCTGGGCCAAGCGGCAAGCTGGCTTCAGCTTTCTGCTTTCGGCAAAAAGCAGGGCTGCTGCCTCTGCTCCCCAACGGGCAGAAGTGCTGACTTTGGGCTTCCCGACATACCTCAGCACTTGGGCAAAGGAGAGGACTGGCGGATCCAGTTATAGGATAAAATTAGACCTGACTCCTCAGCAGCTTAAGGAGGTCACAGTGTTAACCCTGGCACTGCCAGAGGGTCCCATCGGGCTGCTGGTTTAGGAGATTGGCTGTGACCAGACCTAGAAATAATCCAAAGGTACAAATAATTTGAAAAAGCAGAATGGAAGCAAAAGTATACTTTTCTGTCTTACTTTCCTTATTGCGTCAGCCGCCGCCGCAGTAGCAGGGGCTTTAAATTTTAGCTTCTGTTTGGCTCGGGTTCTACTGATGTTCCTGAACAGGAGAGAGGCAGCCAGAAACCAGGCTAGGGTGGGGAAGGTAGAACCTAGGAATTTTTTTTTTTTAATTTTCTATAGATGATTTATCTGCAAAGTGGCTGAACCCTGCGCAGGGATGTGGTCCAGATCATGGAGTGTGAGTGTCAGGGACACAGAGCAGCCTGGCTCCAGCACAGTGCTGGGGCCTCTTCCGAGAAAAGGCCAGGGAACTGTGTGGTGGGAGCCATTGTGGACACAGGCACCTGCCTAGATTCCCAAGAGCCTGGCGGGTGGCCTACAATGTTTCACGCTCCCAGGAAGGCAGACTGCAGAGAAGACAGTGAAGGGGCTGAGGCCTCTCTTGTCCTTAATACTTTACTACCACTCACTCGAAAGCATGTACCATCGGCCCTCATTAGTCATGGATTCCACACCTGTAAATTCTCTTACTAACTCAGATTTATTTTAACCCCCAAACCAATACTCACTGCACTTTTGTGGTCATCCACAGACATGTCTGTGCACAATGGTGAAAAATTTGAGTCCCCTTTCGTGCACACTCCCAGCTGAAGTCAAACAAGGCCGTGCTCTGCCCTCTTGTGTATGTTCTCATACTCTAGTGTCTTTTTTGCAGTCTATTTAATGCCATGTTTTTTGTTAGTTTGTTTTGCATTTTGAGGCTATTTGTTCGTGATTTTAGTGTTTAAAATGGCTCCAAAGACTAGTCTTGAAGAGCTGCAGTCTAGTGTTCCTAAGCTCAGGAAGGCTGTGAGGTGCCTGTGGAGAAAATACATGTGTTTGATAAGCTTCCTTCAGGCCTGAGAGTGCTGTTGGCCATGAGTCCAATGTTAATGAAGCAACCGTATATATTAAATAAGGCATCTTTAAACAGAAACACACATAAAACAAGGTTATGTGGTCACTGGTTGGCAAAAATATTGTGAACAGAAGCTTGCAGGAACCGAACGCTATATTTTCCTTAGGAGCAGTGGTTCAGTATTGGCTAATCCAGTGTTCCTGGTGACTTTTTAGAACATAACTACTGCAGATAATGAGAATCAATTGTATATGTTTCAGAGAGGGGTAAGCTGGGGCTTGGGAGTCTAGATTCAAGGCCTGGCTTCCCCCAATTTACAGGTTGTGTTACCTTACACGAGTCATTCAACTGCCCTGAGCTTCTGTGTCCTCAAGCAAGGATAAAAATAGTTCCTTCTGAATGTATGTTACACGTCAATAAAAATAATTGTGGTAGCTGTGTGGGCTGTGGTGGAGAGTATAGGAGAACATATGAATTCCGGTGCTCCACCAGTTGCAGATTTTATTTGGAGTGTGACAGGGGCAAGTCAATTGACCTCTCGAAGGCTCAGGTTCCTTAGCCATAAACTAGCAAGGACGCCGATATTTCCCTTGCAGGGTGGCTGTGGCGATCAATGAGTTTATGTTTGTTAAAGGGCTTTACAAATTGCCAAGTTCTAATCCACTGTTTCTCAAAGTGTCACCCGCATCCCTGCACCTCAGTCCTCTGAGAGTCTGGTTCAAGTGCAGATTCCTGCTGCCTGTCCCAGACCTACTGATTTAAAATTCTGGAACTCAGGCTTCTGCCTCAAGCTCCTCAGGTGGTTTTTATGGATAAAGAAGAGTGAGTTACGATGGCTGATTTGGGTTTTCCCTTACAAACCTCCTAGAGGTGATGTGGCACGGTTGTAGACTTTATGTTCAAAAGGTGAGCTGAGAGGAATGATGGCTGTAGTTGGTTCAGCGCTACGGAACACCCCCAAACGGCAGAATACCCCCATCCCAGGTGAGGACTGAGTAGATCCCAATCACTGGTTCTGGTGCTCCCCACCATCACTCCCACTTTGAGGAGGATTTTGGATTTAAAGCTTTGCAGTTAGGGGAAGAGTGCTTTCCAGTAGTTTCTAAGAAACTAGAAAATTGCTGTTTAGTCAAGAGGCCTGACTGTTGGAGGCAGACAGTAGCAGCTCGTGGGTTTTGCTTTGTGCCCAAGTATTTATGGTGTCAGTGCTGCTAGAGCGACAGCATGGAGCAGGGCAGCTAGCGGGGTAGGGGCAGGGGCAGCCCAGTAGCCCTGTGGGTCACCAGGAGCCAGCGCAGGGCTCTGGTTCTCGGCAATCCTCTGCATCTGTGTCACTCTTTCTTCCGGAACTCTCGGAACGCTGACGCATGCGAGGCTGCTGGGCGGTTTTGTGGCGTTTTCCTTTTTAAGGGACACTTTCCATTCAGACCCTGTGATTACAAGACTCGTGTTAGCTATGAAAATAGAACATTTTAGTGAGTTTAAAGCTTAATCAATTGATCATCTCAGTGGAAAGAGGCAGGGAGGCCAGGGGTCCCGTTTTATTTGGCTGTTTTAAGCTACGGTCCACCCTCACTTCCCAGACATGGCCGGCGTATGGGGAGTCTGGGGCTGGGGAGAAGGGAGAGCCAGGGACACTGGGTAGGTGGTGGGAACAGGTGATACAGCATAGAGAGATGACAAGAGGGAAAGCACCAAGCACCTCGCCAGCATAGCCGCTAGGAGCGGCAGGAGACTATTTTCTAAGCCCTTTATAGGGTAAGACCTTCCTTGAGGAGTACCCAGGAGCAGAGGTGCAGGGTGGAGGAAGGTACTGGACACAGCCAGGAGACTGCATGCTAGTCCTCCCCCTGCTTGGGTGCTCCCACTGGACCTGTCACTGCTTCTCCTGGAGTGTTAGTTTACCCAAAGATGAAATGAGCAGTTACCATAGAATGATCTCTTGCCCTTGAACATTCTCCTCTGCTCCCTGCCTGGGCAGAAAAGTGTGTGAGAGATTATAGCCTGTCTTCCCCACGCTCAAGATTTTATAAGGTTTCTTATTTCAGGCATGCTTAGCACTGGGATAGGCAATGTGGGGACCACAGGGAAGGGTAAGGCCCGGCTCTTGCCCTCAGAGGATTTATACTGTAGCCAGAGGAAGAACGCAGACATGAAAAAAGAAAGATAAGCAAAAGACAGTAACGTTTCCAGACAGCCCAGTTAGAGTCACATTCACATACTACTTACTGTTCTAAGCACTTTTAAACATCAAAACAATCTAATGAGGTGCATCCTCTCATTGCCTTGGTTTTGCAGCCAAGGAAGCCGAGTCACAGAGAGCGTAAGTAGCTTGATCAAGGCCACACGGCAGGAAATTGGCAGAGATAGGATATGAACTCAGGCAGTCTCGCTTCAGAGTTCATGGTCTTAACGGCTACACTCTATGATTGCTCTAAATAAACGGGAGTGGCAGGAGGGATAGAGCTTCCAGAGCTGTGAGGAGAGAAACAAGAGTGAACTGGAATAATCAGGAAGGCTTCGTGGAAGAGAGGTCTTGAGGGTGGTAGGCGAAACTTCAGCAAAGAGGAGATTGGATGGTGTCCTTGACAGGACAGCCACCAACAAAGGCAGGGAGCAGGCAGGCGATGGGTGTTCGGAAGGCAGGGCGGTCCAGGCAGTGATGGAAGAGCCTTGCCCTCCAGGTGACAGCTCCTTCAAGCCAGAGCAGTAGAAGGCTTGGTTTTTTGCTGTATGGCAGCCTCTGGCAAGGAGCTTAGCACCACCCTCCCATCCTTGGAAAACCACTCAGAGTGAGTCCGCCTTAGTCATCTCCAGCTTCCTTTCCACGCCTGTTCTCAAAGGGCCCAAGACAGCTCCCTGTGGGGACAGCTCTGCCTCAGAAAGGGTTTCTGCCTTTCTGTGTCACTTCCCGCCCCACCCAGGAGAGTGTCAATTCCTCTTTATTTAAGCGTTCTCCTTTTCCCATTCATCCCAAGGTCCCTCAGACAGAGAACCCCCAGTGGCTAGTCTTGGAAACACAGTTTCGCCCCAGGTTAAAGGATGAGGCACCAGGGGTGGCAAGAGTGGTGTCTTGCTGTGAATCCCAGGCTGCAGAATTTGGAATTGATTCTGCAGGCAAAGTGCTGTCTTCCAGCCTAAGATACACAATATCCTAGGGAGAATGCACCTGTCTTCCAAAGATCTCTTGGTCATAACAGAGGCTGTCCATCCATGGGGCATGGGGAGAGGTGCCAGAGGCATCTGACAGTAGGAGCTGTGGACCAGAGCTGAAGAAGTGCTGACCTACCTTGTAGCCATGATGAGCTCCTGAGGCTATGATCGTGTCTGCTCTACCTCTGGGATCCCAGAGCTGGCACATAACAGACATCAGTGCATGTTGGCTCAACTGAACTGAAAAAGCAGAGGGTACCACTGCCTAGCCTAGCCCCTCTATTGGCACAGGTTCTGCCTCATAGGTACAAGATCTACTCGTGAAGATTTCTCCCCAGGTGACTGCATGGGTGTGGTAACCTCCAGCCTTTCTGAGGCACAGAGCACCCACACAGGAGGGTTTTCGGGGTGCTCATCCACTCAGCAGGAAAGTAATGTAGGACAGGACAGCCACCTCTGAGAGGCAGCCTTTGGGTTGGGGATCAGAGGAAAGATAGCTGGTATTTAAGGAAGGTCAGGGGCTCTGAGCTCAATACCTTTCAGCTCATCACCTTGCTTGGGGAGGCTGCTTTTTCTGAATCAGACTCTGCCTGAGCAACCAGCACAAAACTTGGTGTTTGGGGGTTTTGCTGGGAGTTGCACCTTTAAATTCTAAGTGTCTCATTCTCTGTTTGTGGCCCTCAGGATCACACCTCAACACCCAACCCTTGAACTCCACACACTCTGCCATGCACACAGGAGGAGAGCTGGACCGGAGGGCTCCACAAGTGGCGCACATGTTCCTCTAGGCTAACGGCATGATCTCCGTAAGGGACTTCCTTTAGTCTCCTATTCGCATGAACGACTGACTGTAGACGCATGACCTACAGTCCTCAATCCTGCCTCTAGCGAAGACGACGGATCTCTGTCGGGAATCAGGACAAAAGCAGCAAGAAGTGGGGAGAGAGAGAGAGAGGGATAGAAAAACAAATGCAAGAGAGCGCATGAACGCAGACGTGAACAAGGGCTCTTTGTGGCTGGGGATGATATATTTTTAAAAATCATTTTAATTTCAACTTCTTACAGGGTACTTATTTTTTCAACCTCATCTGTAAGAAATCCATGTGGGCTTCCTGGAAAGAAAAAAAAATGAGAACTAGGCACGAAATCAGTTCAGCACCTCTTACTCCCATGTCCTCATCTGCCAGCCTTCCCCACACACACCTCCATTCCATTTGTGATCGGACCCTCCCTCTGCCCAGTGGACCGCTCCCCCCAGAACGCTCTACATGACATTCAGGACACACACACACGCGCGCACACACGCACCTCTCCCCTCTACTCAGTATACACACAGATTTTACTGTGATGTCCGAAGCTGTATAGAATCTCCTGTGGATAAACTGGAATTTTTTATGTTCTCGCTCTCTCTCTCTCTCTCTCTCTCTCTCTCTCTCTCTCTCTCTCCTTCTCCTTCTCTCCTTCTCTCTCTCAGTTTCAGTATTAATCATCTTCCAATGGAAAATCATTACCTTTAGAGTGCATTCGGGGTTCCTTGTGTTAGGAACTTAAGAATCTGAGGTGAGGACCCCAGGCTTAGCTGTAGGGCTCAAGGGAGCCAGCGCCCCATCTGAAAGGGTCTGCTCTCTCAGTTGGCGGCTGTCCCAGGATTGCACCAGCATGTTCACTAGAGAAGAGGTTTTCTATATCTTCAAGCACTTATATCATAGTCTGTGTTCAAAGTGTAAACTGTACAGTAATCAGCCTTGTGTATATGAAAAATAATAAATACTATGCAAACCAATAGAAACACTTTAGCAGTATGTGCAAAGCACTAACAGCTCAGCTCCTGAGGACTTCTCCAGGCTGCAGGAGAAGGAGCTATAGCCTGTCTTTCAGTGAAAGAGGAAGGAAGGGAGTAGGGCTGGTGAATGTATGTATCTGTGGGTTCTCAGAAGTCAGCCACCACCCCCAAGGTCTCCCAGAGCTAACTTGGTGCTCTAAGTCCTGGCAGCCGGCAGGATGGGGGGCCTAGGCTGGACAGCCTCAGTGCCCCCACTCTGACCAAGCCCCTCAGCCCCACCTGGAGAGGCGGGGCAAGGGCCCGCTCCTGATCACAAGCCCAAGGGAGGAGAGCCGGAGGAAGAGAAAGCAGTGACCAACAGGAGGCCCTGGGCTAAGAAGGAGACCCTCCTAGGCCAGGCCCCCCGGTCAGGGCAGGAAGGAAGCAGACAGCTGGCTGTTCCTCACCTCGGTGCCACCAGGGAAGAGCCTTAAAGTTACACTAGAGCCCCCGGCAGAGGGAGGCCCGAATCAGCACAATCCGGCCCCGCCCTGCGCGGCGGGCGCCCTCCTGGGCCAGAGAGAGACTGGCAGGCTCTGCAGGCTGTCACAGAGCCACTGTTTGTGGGTGTCCAGTCACCCTCCTCCCTGCCGCTCTTCTGACGTGTCCTCAGAACACATTCACACCTTCCAAGTAGCACAGAAGCTCCCTCAGTGTCCGAGCCCCCACGGTCCTGGTGCCTGTCGCCGGCCGCACAGGTCCCGGCGGAGCGGGGGCAGCCGGGCGGCCGAGCGGAGAGGGGAACCCAGGCTCAGCGGAGTCCTCGCCGGCCCGGCCGAGGCGCTCCTGTTGGTCCGGGCAGTTTCGCTTTTGCTTCCAGAGGGGCGGGCCAGGGAGGGAAAGGCCAAGCTCGCAGCCTCAGGTCCCCTGGGCTGTGACCAAAGAAGCGTAGCCCCCGCCCTCCCTGCGGGGCAGGAGCGCAGGGCTTCCTCGCAGCGGGTGGTGCGGCTCGGCTGGAGCGCGCGCCCGTCCCCGGGCACCCCTGGCCCGGCCACCTGGTCCAAGGAAGACAGGCGCAGGGCCGGCCTCCCGCCTCGATCCTGTACCTTCCTGTCCCAGGCCGCCGCTGTAGCCGTCCCCAGTAGCCCCTCGCAGAGCCCCGCGCGGGCCCGCGGCCCCAGGCTATGCTTTGGCACCTTCCGCTCCGTCCGGCATGGCTGCTTGGCCCGGTAGCCCCGAGCCCTCGGCGGCATGGCTGCCCGCTCCGGTTGCTAGTAGGAGCTGTTAGGGGAGGAGTTTGGGGTCTCCACACGATGCCTAGAGAATGCTGCAGTCTGCACATTAGACGCTTTTTAGAAGTTTTGGAATTACCTTGATTTTTCTAATTGTTATGAAATGAATCTTTTCTTGACTCTCTCCCACATGCTCTGTAATCGGGAGAGAATTCCCCGTGCCCACTCTGATGTATAGACCATTCTCCCTACACCAGCTGAACAAATGTCAAAATTAATAAAGAAATTGACTCATGGCACAGGGCTCCCTCTGTCCTTTCTGGCTTGTCCTTGGGGAGTTTGAGGTGGTGGGACAGCAGTGAAGCCTGGGGTGGGATCAGTCAAGCAGGGAGGCCTACCTCCGGTGAGGTACCCACCTCCTGGAAACCTGGACAGCCCTTTAATCAGGACGCTCATTTTGGGAGAAGCCCTCCCAGCATCTAAGATCGTGGAGCAGAGATTTCTGTCCCACCTGATGACTACCATGAGACGGGGGCAAGTCTAAGGTGGGTGGGGGGGAAGCACCACAAACCACTGGGGATGTTCCTGATCCCACAGCCGGCGTACACTCAGGGGAACCCCCCAGCACTCCCTGTGAAGCTGTCTGGCCCCTGCATTTGATGCCATTCAAAGTTGAATAACTTTCTAGAAAATCGCCCTGTTCCTAACAGCTAGTTCCTACTGCTGCATACAAGGCTGGCCACCAAGCTGGCCTCAGTTTGCTCATCTGTCAAATGGGGAACTGGATTAAGCACTTGCTAAGACCTCTTCAGTTTGTCCTCCTGAGATTCCTAAACATGAATGCCTTTGTCAACCTTGGCATTAAATAAGAGCCAAATCATTTGCTGCAGCTTTTCTTCCTCATAAGTTCCCATCATTAAAAGGTGACCAAGTCACAGTCACAGGATCTTAGGAGCACTCCTAGCCCTCACTCTGAAGCTTCTTTCTCAGAGTCAGGAAAACCACCCAGGCCACGGGGCCAGGGCTGTGCATACAAATGGCCCAGAGGGTTTTCAGAAGCAGAGGTTCAGAATCACCACTGCCTGTGTGGGGCCGGGCTGCAGCACTGGGATTCAGATTAAGTGCAGCTTGGTAGCATAGCCAACTCTAATGGATAAGAACCTTTTTTTCTTATTTTTAATCCAAATTTCTAGAAAAACAATCTCCACATGCAGCCTTTGTGAGGTCTTTTTTGCATTAAACTCCATCATTTACGCTACAGAGGGCATGGCTCAGAAACCAATTCCACCGTGACCAGATAATAGCAGTGTGACGGGCCGGGCCCTGAGGGAGAGGGGAGACCTCCTGAGTCCTGGGCCCTGGGCCTCCCGCTGGAAACCAAGGAGAAGCCCAGCTATGAGTACTTATATCTCACCTGCTGAAGAGCACCCATGGGGTGGCGAGACAGCCAAGGAGCCCACAGCCTGGTCAGGAAAGGCTTTGGGACTGGCAGGCAGAGGAGGGACAGAAGTCCATCTGTCTGGCAGTCGCTATTTTTCCTGTCATTTTGCCTGTTCAGACCAGTGGCATGCTAGTTTCCATTAAAAACAAGCAAACAAACAAACAACTGCAAGAAAAGACACTGTTCCAAAGAAAAATAACTCAAGATTTTTGCTGTGGTTTCCCCCTTTGTAAAATGAGAGATAGCCCCTAGTAGAACTTTCTCTGTTGTAAAAATTTATTAGAAAAAGAAAAAAAAGAAAAGTCTGTGGGTGCTCTGTGATTCAATCCAGTTTCATCCGTCAAATACTTACTGAGCACCAACCAAGTGCCAGGCACAGGGACCCACTGCTGAATCAACAGCCATCTCAGTCATCAAAGATTTCCAACCCAGGTGCCAAGACAGACAGAACATGGCAATGGCTCCAGCAGAGGCACAAGTGACCCCTCCTCCGAGGAGAAAGGGAGGACAGAGGCATCAGGGGAGGCTGCCCTGAGGCAGAGACAGGACGAGCATACACCCAGCTGGCCCACAGCTGCCCCAGTCCGCCAGGCAGGCTCTCACCCCAGGCTCTCAGGCCAGTCACAGGGATTTGCATCCCGCCCCCGCCCCTCCAAAAAAGCCCAGCCTTCCCACTTACCCATCCCAGCACGAGGAGGGAAGGGAAACATCCATGGTCACACTGCACACTCCCCTAGCGTCTTGGGTATCTGCACATAAGGGGCCTGAGCACCCCCAGGACAGCGAACCCTGAGCCAGGCTTCCTCACCCACAGGGGGGAGCAGCTACAGGAACTGTGACTGTCAGCTGCCTCAGGAGGCTCCTCCAGGGGCCCTCCAGGTACCCACTTTTTCCTAGATGCTGGTGTTGGGGTACTAGGAGCAGGTGGACCCTCTGCAAATGAACTGAGCTTCCAGAGCTCATATTCTCTCTCTCTCTCTCTCTCTCTCTCTCTCTCTCTCTCTCTCACACACACACACACACACACACACACACACACACACACACCCTGGCTGATTTTACAGTCAATCTTTCAAAGTGCAATTTGTCTAGGGAAAGCCAATGTGAGGCCCGTGTGGATTTCGACCAATGGTGACGCAGCTGGCGCTCCTCAGCCAGTCTCCGGTCTGTATTCTAATGGGCCATATCTTTATCAGGGAAATGTTGCTTCTCTGAACTTAAAACTTCTCATGGAGGGTCCCCAGACTCAGAGGCTGAGGAGGGGTCTGAGCTGAGGTGTGGGAGCCGCCTTTCTCCAGGCCTGGCAGGGAGAGAGGGAAAGGGCGCGGGTGAGGCCTCTCACCTGTCCGGGAGCACCTGACTTCCTAGCAGCTGACGTGGGTGCCAGTCCCTGGGCAGGGGCTGGGCAGATGCCTTAGGTTGGAGGGCTGTCTGGGGCTCCAGGCCGCTTTTGACCCTCCAAACCTGCCATGGGATTCTGGGCCAGAGCACGGGGTCTCAGGGTTTAGGGGCCTGGATTTGGGCTTCCTGCTTTCCCTCACCTTGACCTGGGGAACATGGAGTCCAACCTGCAAGGGACGTTCCTGCTGAACAACACGCCGCTGGCTCAGTTCTCGGAGATGAAGGCGCCCGTGTGCCAGTACTCCGTGCAGAACTCCTTCTACAAGCTCAGCCCCCCAGGGCTGGGCCCCCAGCTGGCCGCCGGGACCCCCCACGGCATCACAGACATCCTGAGCAGGCCTGTGGCCACGCCAAACAACAGCCTGCTTTCCAGCTACCCCCATGTGGCAGGTTTTGGTGGACTCGGCTCCCAGGGGGTCTACTATGGCCCCCAGGTGGGGAATTTTTCCAAAGCTGGAAACGAGTACCCCACCCGGACCCGGAACTGCTGGGCAGACACAGGCCAAGACTGGCGAGGCGGGCGGCAATGCAACAACAGTGAGTACCGGGCACCCCCGGATCAGGGAGGAGGAGGTGTGGGAAGGGGACGCCCACAGTGGGGCCTGCACCTGCTGCCCACCTCTCCTCAGCCACCATCAGACAGCCCAGCTCAGACACCTGGGTCTATATCTCAACTTGGTGCAGCACTGGGTTCTCCCCTCCCGATCCTGCCCAGCTTTGTTTGGATGGAGTGTCTCGACCCCCACCCCCAACACTCAGCAGCTTTCCTAGGGGACCTGGGAGTCTCTAGGTCTGAGGAAGACCACATAGCCCACACCCACTCGGTGTGAGGTCCAGTGGGCTGCTCGCCTTACTTCTCCCACTCAGAAACCATGTCACCACTTCTTCATCCAAAGTGGGCGAACGGTGTCCATAACGAGAAGTTGCCACAGCAGCACCTTCCCGGAGAGCCCACTCATGCCTTGGCACCATTCAGGGGGACAGAATGCACGCTGAACCCATTGAGGTCCCACCTTTGAAAAAGGGACCCTGTTTCCCACCAACCTCCTTGGGGTTTATGTCCACAGTGGCAGCGACCACCGCCCAGCCTCCAGGAGCAGCTGCTGAGCCAGGTCGGACTTGGCTGTAGCTGTGGTGGGGGCGCTCCTCACCCAACCCATCCCTCAACCTGCTTCCAAAGATCTAGAGCACATTTGCAATCTTGCTTCGCAGCACATGTCGTCAGTTTGGCTCAACTAAACTCTTATAAAAAATTTTTTTTAAAAAAAGAACTGATCCAGGGTCCCCGTGATGCCAGTCAGGGAATGGAGGAGATGGCAGGACATGCACAGACAGGTGAGGCTCATCTGGGAGGCAGGGAGAGTGACGGTAGCTGCTGGAGCCATTCCTGTGCCTGAGAGGCCCTGCCTAGATCAGGCGGGGACAAGGGCAGAGGGAACCTCCACTTCTGCCTGAACTTGGGGTTGCCCACTGCAATAGGGCCAGCCAAGGAAACCCTGAGGCACAGCTGCCTCCCCCTCTTCTGCTGCACTACTCCACGTGGTCATACTGGCTGGCAGCCCACCCCTCACTCAACCTGAATCACAGCGAGTCCCTGGGGGTGAAGGCCTCGTCTCTTGGAACCTATTTTATAACCCGGTTTGAGGGTGCTTTAGGCCTCAGGCTGTCTCTCCCTCTCACCTCCATCTTCCCCCCACACACATCAAACATAATACACCCCTGCTCTTCAGCTCTGGTGCATATCCACACAGGAAAACATCTAAGGAAGTCAGTGGGTGAATTAACAAAAGGAGAGAGGACCGAAGGTGATGGTCTCTCGGGACGTCACTTCCCCTTTCCGTGCCTCCGTTTCCTCACCTGTAACATGAGGAAACTGGACATGGGCCATCGGGCTGCACTGAGCAAGGTCCAACAGGTGGGCATTCTGCTTACCCCGAGCCCCCCACCCCAGCCCAGCCACTTCCTGAGGAGGCTGCCCTGGCTGGGCAGATGGTTGGCTCATGAGCCTCTGTGTCCAGACTGGTTTCGGGTGACCTGGAAAATGGGATCCCAAGAACAAGGAAGTCAAAAGGGGAGGAATTCCCATGCCCCTAGAGTCCTGATGTTGGTGGAAGGTGCCTAATCCGTTTCTTGGTGTCCCTGAGACTGAGAGGAAAGTCTTCTTGCTGCTTCGGGGAAGGCAGCATCACTGAGTAAGACCATTACACAGAGAGGCACGAGACCCAGGCAGGTTCTCAGCTCCCTCTGCCCCTAAGTAGCTGTAACCTGGGGCAGGTGCCTTCTCAGCAGGTGCCTGCCCACCCAGACATGGCAGTGGTCAAAGTCACTATTATCAGAACATCAGGAATGCTGCTCAGGTGAGAGGTGTCACAACCCCTGCAACCTCAGTGGCTTCTCTGTAACAGGGAGCTAACCCTGGGGGAGAGGCAGGGCAGGGCTGGCACCCCACTCGCCCTGCTGACCACGCGTGTCCTTCCTCCTGGCAGCCCCAGACCCCCTGAGTGACAGCATCCACAAGAAAAAGCACACCCGGCCCACCTTCACGGGGCACCAGATCTTTGCCCTGGAGAAGACCTTTGAGCAGACCAAGTACTTGGCTGGCCCTGAGAGGGCGAGACTGGCGTACTCACTGGGGATGACTGAGTCGCAGGTCAAGGTAAGCCTGCGCAGGAGAAGGTGTCTGCCTGGCTGTGAGGAGCCTGCAGGACTGGATGCTACCGCGTGGGAGAGGGGTAGCTTCACTCTCCTAGTCATCCCCAGCTATCAGTGGGAGGCCTCCTGCTGTTTGGGCACTGCCTGCTCACCCAACCCTAGAGATTGTGATAATTACCTTAACCAAAAAAATGGCTGTCAAGATGACCCTATTTTGAGAGCCTTTTGTGTAGTACCTCATTTAACCCTCACAGCAACCCCGAGGTGGGTATTATTACCTGTTTTACAGATGAAGAAACAATCCCAGATGAGCCTCTTGCTCGAGGTCACCCAGCTGATAAGTGCAGAGTTGGGAGTCAAACCCAGATGTGTGACACTCCAGTCTCATGCTTTCCCTTCCTCTGCACGGTCTCGGCCAGAAATGTCAAGAGCTGGTGGCAGCCTATGGCTCAGATCAGGAGTCAGCCTCAGGGCCAGTTTAGAACTAGACTTAGGCTTGTTCCATTCGCTAGCAGACAGAGCTGGCCTAAAGTTTGCTTTACCAAACTTTGAAGTGAGGATAACACCTTTTCCTAGCCACGCCCATCCAAATGAAGTTCAGATGGGATACCAGATGCAGGAAGCCTCACAGCCCCACGCAAGGGTCACTCTCACGCTAACACCAGAGCCTGAAATCGGTAAACAGGCTTTAGTCTCCTCAGGTTCCCCAGCACAACTTTGGTAACTTTAATGTTAGATCTCTCCTGAGGGGCTTTGGGTTTGAGCTATGTCAGAACTGCCCAGTCCTGAGACATGGTAACAGGTTTCAGGGTAGAGAGACGTACCAGGGCAGGTTGTGACCCAGGTCTGGGCTCTGATCAGGGCCCTGGATCTCCACCCACTGGCCTCTGCAGCCTCCTGGTCAGCCCAGTATTAAGGATGTCACTGGAGAGAAAGCTGCCAGATCGAAGTAGAAGGAAACAATTTGGCGCTTACATATTTTTTCCGCTTCAGGTATTTTTCTGTGCTGTTCAACAATCTCAAGCAATGAGACTATATTATTTTTATAATTAAGGGGAATTTTTTTCATGAAGTTCAGTGAGGGGCTGTAGAGTTAAAAGAAGGGGTCACTCTCAAGCACCTACTGACCTCACCTGGGCTAAACCCTTCCCACCGGGCGCCATCTCAGCATCTTCTACCCGAGGGCCCCAGATGGCAAAGTAGAAGGAAGATATCCCACGGAGAGGGTTACCGCTAAGCCTAAAGGACTGCTGCACTCACAACAATTATTTTCATTTTATTGCCCCTCTAAAAAAAAGTACTGTGGATATTACATCCTACTCTATTATTGAGCCGTTTATTTTACTTTATTTTATTTTTATTTTTTCCTATTAAAATATATCTTTGTTCATTTTGGCCTATAGTTTTAGACCCTCATAATCTTTTTATAATTCTTTTTTTTTAATTCGTTTCAGGTGTACAAAACAATGCACTAGTTATACTTTTTACATTTATTTGATAAAAATAAGGATTGAGTGTACTTGCCATCGAGTAGTCGCCCTCCAAAAAGGGGGGTGGGGGGGGGCCTGCGTGTGCTGTGTGTGTGCGATCCTCAGTCCTTCTCATCCCAGGTGTGGTTCCAGAACCGGAGGACCAAGTGGAGGAAGAAGAGCGCCCTGGAGCCCTCGTCCTCCACGTCCCGAGCCGCCGGCAGCGCCGGCTCGGGCGGGGACCGCGCGGCCTCGGAGAACGAGGACGACGAGTACAACAAGCCGCTGGACCCTGACTCGGACGACGAGAAGATCCGGCTGCTGCTCCGCAAGCACCGCGCCGCCTTCTCGGTTCTCAGCCTGGGCGCGCATGCCGTCTGACCCCCTCCCCGCCCGCCCCGGCCCGGCCAGTTGTCTGCATCTCAGAAGGGCCTGCCTTCAGTCCCCTTCCCGCCCCCTCGCTGCTTGGGGGGGGGGACAGGGGGCAGAACGCTAACCCGAGGGGCTGCGGAGGAGGAGGGAGAGGAGGAGGGAGGGGGCGNTTTCAAACAGGACTTTCACAAGGCCCTGGATGCAGGCTGAGCAATGTCTGAGAAGGGGGGAGGGGAAGGAAGAGGGGGCAGAGGTGGTGGTGGAGGAGACCCGCCTGGCTAAGGGAGGAGGGCGCCACAAACGTGTCCTGAGACCTGGTACCTTCTCTGCCATCTTGCACCTCTGAGGGCCCAGGCCTTGCCCTGCCAGCTCTGCAGATTCCTAAGTGCACAAGTAGATGAAAATGACCCAAGTTCTGCGGCCAGGAAACTGGTGTGGGGGGGTCTCACGCATGTCACTGTGATCCTGCTGTGGGGGGCCTTCCCCCAGGGAGGCAGCTGGCCCTTGGCAACCGGCTCCCTTCTGCTCTGGGAGTTGGGACACCAGGGTACTGGACCCAGGGCAGCTACAGGCTGGCATGTGAAGAAACAATGGTATGTCCAGGTACTCTCCTCAGACCCTGACACGGGAAGGATTCCACTTGAGGGGTCAGAGCCAAATATTATAACCCAGGCTGGAGGAAATTCATGCCCCGGGATGGGAGGTGGGTCTCAGCAAAGAAGAGGCACCCCCTACACCCAAACTCAAGGATCACACCCCTGGAGGGAAAAATCCTCCTGGCCTCCTTTCTCCATTTTGCACTCAGAGGGGATTCCCCCGAGACAGGAAGAGACAAGAAACCCCTATTGCTGGGAAATGGGGAGGTGGTAGACAGTTGCAGAGAAAAGATGATCCTAGCAGCTGATGCTGCACCCCAAAGCCACCCCTCTGGGCTTTCCTTGGTGCTGATGCAAGACAAATCCACCCACAGAAAGGGCTGGAAGGGATCTCAGAACCCCTGGCCCCTCCAACTGGGGTGTCCACACAGGAAGGGAGAGGCCCCTACAGAGAGGGGCTGCACCCAGGGCTTGCATGGGACCCACGGCCCTTCCTTTCCTCGGGTGCCCTGTGGCCTGGCACTGAAGCTGCTGCTTGGGAGCACTGGGCAGCAGGGTGGTGGTTTGCACTCCAGGTGATTCTGAGCTACTGGCATGTGCAAGGGGCTAGGGGAGGTGGGTGGGGGCTGGCCAGAGGCGTGCAGCCCAAAAGGGACCAAGCGTTTGCCCATCTTTACAGGCTTTTAAAGAATAAAGAGTAAAAATAAAAATCCCCGAAACCTCCCCATGGCTCTTGTGCTTCTGTGAAACTGGCTGTGAAGTCCCAGACATGCCAGCTGTGAGAGGCTGTCCAAGAGGGCAGGCCTCTCTGCTTCCACAGGGCAGTCAGTGCTCTGGGAGTGGGGAAGCTTTGCATGACATTGGTCAATTTAAAATTTCATTGGTGTATGCCAGGCACTGTCGTAGGTGCTGAGAAACCTGAGAAACCTTTATTGGGGTCCCTGACCTCCAGGAATTCATAGCCTAGTGGGGAGAAACTGTTTTGGGAACTAGGTACCACACAGAAAAGAGAATTGGGGACAGAATAGAAGCACTAACATTAACTGAACACCTACTAATTTCTGTCACATAGAAGGCCTGGATTATCCTACTTGACCCTGCAAGAAACCTAGGAGGTAAGTATTATCCTCGTTACATAGATGAGAAAACTGAGGCTCAGACAGTGCCTGCACCAAGTCACAAAAATGGGACGAGACAACATGAGGGTTAATTCCAAGGTCCTCATATCTACTTGCCCTAGGTGCAGGGGGCAGCCCCTCAAAACCTTTTCTGTAAAATAAGAGGCTAGAATAGAATGAGACATGCTTCCAATTTTAATGATCCCCACAAACATCAACAAAGCCTGAGTAGCTGTAAGCAGCCTGCCCTGCCACATTTACTGCCCCAACAAGCCCCTCAGCCTGTCCCTTGGACCCCCAGAGCGGGAGAATCTCATGGGTGGAGTCAGCCCAAGTGGGAATGAGAGTGGAAGGAAGGCCCCAACTCAGAAACTGAGGCACTAACCTTTCACAAATAACTCTAGAGAACCCAGGAGACGTGACAAAAAAATGGAGACTGCTTTTAAGCCCTAATCCTCAATCTGCAATGATGCTCACATTTTGTTTCTTTCCACATAAAGTGGGAAGGAAATAAGGCAGCTTCTAAGAATCGAGCCCCATCTCTGTGCTCCTGGCCACAAGCTCCACTGAGGAGCCCTTTGCTGACAGGGGTGTCCTGGCAGACACTGCTGCCCTGCTGTAGCCAGCAGGACAGGGAGCCTGGAAAGAGCCAACGACTCACGCAGCACAGCTGCAAAGACCAAAACCCCCTAGTGGCTGTGGGAGGCAGGTGATGCACAGGGTTTTCTGAGCACTTTGCAGGGAGGCCACGACCCGCAGGGTGGAGGAGGCTGTTGACATGGTCCAGGTGTGAAGTGATGAAGCACGTATGGAGGAAAAAGCCAGTGACCAAAAAATTGTGCTCATTTGCCTTCTTTGTAAGTGTGTTATAATCCTAACTGCGCTGTTATAGCTGTAATTCTTGCATGTCTGATTCAAGTCGTTTAGGGTCAGTATTAAATCAAGGCTTTGAGGAGTTTTTTTCCTGGCAGACATTTGCTGAACTAAACAAAACCTTCTCCAATCCAAGTTCTGGGACACCTGCCACTGGACCTTCTGGCTCAAAGACGCCAGCCTTCCCAGCATCCTCTCTCCCTCACTCCTGTCCTGAGCACAGGCACCAGGCCAGGGAGAGGCACTGTCTCCCATTTCTCTCATTATCCTGCTCAGGCCTAGTCAAGAAGCTAGATTCAGAGTGTGAAGGAAGAGAAGAGCCCAGGGTGAATGGCCCAGATTCCCGAGGGTAGTTTGGGATAAGTCCTGCTCTCCACAGATGTACGTGTGTGTGTGTGTGTGTGTGTGTGTGTGCACACACGCACACACACATGTGTGCTGCTGGGGAGAACTCAAGGCTATCTCATTTCATCCATCATAAAGAAATCATAAACCATAGACCATTTCTCCCTTTTTTATGTCTGGTCATAAAAGGGGCTCCTTTTATATGCTGAGTTAAACAAACAAAAAAAACCCAAAATTTTTTAGATATTCATGCTTCTTGCAACTCCTTTCCTACCACATTGCAAACTTTTCAGGGATGACGTGAAGAAAGAAATTAAGTCCTGTGGTCTTAAAAGCCATCGAGTCCTCTGACAGGCAACCTGGTAAGCTCCACTGGGCAGGCACAGACCCTGCCCTGCCTCTCACAACCCTCACATTTGTGGCTTCTGATGTTTGAAGGACCTGGGACATGTCCCCGGCAGGTCAGGGGTGAAGATAAGGAATATCAACGTCTTACCAGGTTCAGAATGGCCATATCCTGATGTCAATCACCCAGAAGAAGATGGGGCATTGAAATTCCACTTCTACAACCCCTTCTCCTACTCAGACCACCCCTAGGATTTGAGCCCAGAAGCCAGCTAACCCGAGTTTTGGTGTGCAGCAGGGCATAGTGGAACGTGTCCATTAGAGCAGGGCTCAAACCCTGGCTCCGCCACTGTGTCCCTGGTGAGTTTAACCTCTGAGCCTCAGTTTGCTCAACTGTAAGACAGGAATAATTATACATACTTTGCAGGGTCTCTGTAAGATTAGAGCACATGAGTGTGCCTGGCATATATAGACACTCAGCTGCTATATTATTCAAAGGGGGCTTTGGGGGCCCACAATCCCGAGTTTGAATCCCCACTCCAGCTGTAGCTGGGTCATTGTAACCAAGTTAATTGACCTCTTGAACTCCAGTTTAAATTCAGATGTAAAATGAAGCTGATGATTAACTCTGAAGGCTGAGGAGATTCCATGAAATCACGTACAATGCCAGAATGGTGTGGGCACTTACACGCTGGTGCACTCACACTCTCTTTCCACCTCAAATTCCTAGGAAGCATCAAAGCCAGTTCTAAACAGGCCTTCTCACCAAGAGGACAAACTACCTACTCTTTAGGCCCCACAGGTCGACTGCTATCTAGGAGGTCACGGAGAGCTTGTGTGTGACCAGATTAGTTTACCTGCAAAACACCTGAGATTCTGGGCTCTCAGGCAAGGAGCTACACCAGATGCGGAGGGCTGAATTCAGCTCGCAGGTGTGTTTCTCCAGAGGCAACAGTGCTTTCATAGAAACTTCAGCTAGCCTTTCGGCAGGGCAAGCCTGGTCCAGTGAGCGACCCCCTCCACTTCCTTTGCACTTCCACAAGCCTGGGCTCCACACGGTAAGTCACCTGCCTGGCCCCTGAAGGCATTTGGGTCTGTATGTTCTGCTAAAGCCTTGATGCTATGACACATGGACCAGCAGCACCAGCCGCACCTGGGAGCTCTCAGGCCCTCAGGTCCCATCTCAGACCTCCTGAATCGAAAGCTGCATTTTAACAAGCTGCCCGGCGGTGGGTATGCACATCACTGGGTGAGAAGACTGAGGGTGAATACGACTGTGTGGATGTGTCTGGATAACATTCCTCTTCGCAGAGCACAGAGTCTGGCCCAAATCAGGTGTTCGGCAAAAAATTTCTAGGCAGTTACACATGGGTGTAGGTAGAGTCCTAGCATTGGTGACCACGTAAAACACAGGTGGGACCTGATTGTGAGGGAAAAAATAAAATTCGGAGGACATAAAGTAGCTGCCACAGGGCACACACACTACTCTCCCAGGCAAGGCAGGAGCTGCCTGAGGTACGAGAGGCCTGGAGCCAAGGTTCAAGGAGGGAACTGCTGACAGCAGCCAACGAAAGAGAAGGAGGAATTTCAGGAGTACAGCCCTCTGTGGGCATTTGGTGGTAGGACTGAAGAGCCAGCTTAGGTCAGAGGTCTTTGAGGACAGCACTGTAGGTCGTGTTCATAACAATGTCCCAGAGCCATCAGAAAGATTCAACTTTGTCCTTGGTCTTCGGCATGAGATGGCCAGAAGGGCATACTATTTGAGAAAGATTTTCCTTGGGAAATTATTTTGCTTAGAGCAATTCACTCCCTGATGATGTTCAGGTGAACAAAATGTTACCACATAAAAATCTGCCCTTCTCATTGTTGGATCA